GATAATGAGCGATGAATTTTTGGCTACCTTTTGACAAATTATGAACAGCTGAAAGTGTTTAAATATCGAACTTTATTAACTCAATTAAAAATCCATATTTCCTTTCTATTCCTTTTCCTGTAAATAAGTATCATTCTGTATCCATTTTTGTTTTGTTTTTTCTTGCTCTTAAAAGTTTTTTAGTCAGAAAACAATGATACAGCTTCCTAAAGCTATTCTCTTGACAAATTAAATTTTGCATGTTGAAATGAAAAATTTTTATCCATATCTCTCTTTGTGATCACATTTCCAATTTATATCTTGAATTGCTATTCCAGAGCTGGCCCTGAAATCTTGAAGATACAGTATAATAATAATACAGTAATAAAAATATTCAATATCAGGGGCGGATTTAGAGGGGGGCTAAACAGGCTTTAGCCCTCCCCTAAAATTTCATAGCCATTTCTTTTTAACTGTTTTTTGAAGGTCCAAATTAAAATATTGTTTAATGTTTTCTTAACACACATCATATTTATGGGCTAAACATTTTACAATAGTTGTTTTTCAGTGATAAAATAAAATGAAATATGTTTTTTAACCGATCAGCGGACAAAAAACGTAGCTAAGAAAACTGCTTTTGCCTTGCCTTCATGCTCAAATCTCGAAGCAAAGGCCGTTGTGAAGCGGTCTCAACGTTGTATAATACACTAAACTTTTCGTGTCGCACAGGTTTGTTATTGTCTAGTCTTTCCTTGATTGTTTGCGGTCAGAGGTATTTGAATGTTTGTAAATAAACTAATAATAAACTACAATTTATGATAATGATGATGAAGATGATGATGAAAATAATAATAATACAGTAATAAAAATATTCAGTACAGTAACTGTGACCCTTTTACAAACCAAAGAATCAAAGTGCTTGCATTATAAAACTCCTGCTCAAAGAATCTAAAATCTACAAAATGCCATTCTTGGCTCTGTAGGAAGTTCATACTCCTGAATTAAAAGTGGCAAACACGACAAATCATCAAAGTACACAAGTACTGTAAAAAGCAGAGCATGTGATTTGAACCCTCGGACCTCACTGAGGTGCAAGGGGTGGACCACAGAGTAAGTGTACCAATGTGTGTGAATGCTTTTCCTTGAATAGCCCTCATAATTGAGAGTTATGTGATAAGGAACATGGTATCCGTACGTGTCTGTTGCATGTTGTAGTTAAGTTGGGTAGTGTTGAACTGCAGCTGCCGTGGGTTCTGTGGGCCCTGCCCAAATGTTTCCAAGTTCAATGAGGACAAATAAAGTTTAAATATCATCATTTTGCAAATGCAGACAAAAACACCCCTTTTTTACATAAATGTTGATTTAATGTACAGTAGATGCTATAATTGCGGGGCAAAGTGAGATGATAATCCCGGTGATAAAGAGTACAAAACTTGAGACAGTTGCCCACAAAACCCAGCCCAAAACTGGGTATCGGTATTTTCCACCTAAAACATTGTTTGGGTGTAACATTTTTGGATGTTTAACTAAACATGCTAAGCACGTTAATGTGCAAGTTTGCGAAAAAACCATTCTTTAAATGCATTTTTTGGCCACATACACGTGTCCTTGAGAAAGTCTTTGAGGTCAAGTTCAGTTATCCTCCCGGGAGTTGAGAAGCCAACCAGCTACTTCTGTATCAATCACTCCATCATTAGTTTGTGGTACATGTAATGAACCGGGAGCTATTAATAAATTAAAGTAGCTTACAAGAAACTCATTGTTCTTGTTGCAGGAAGTGATCATTACTTTTTTAACCACTGGACCGGGATTGATCATAATTCAGGAGGCATACTTTGGAATTATGCCACATACTCTTAAATAACTTGAATCACCTTGCTTTCATTCTTCATATTTTGGCTAAGAAACCAACATCAATTGCAAGAATGTTACATAATATTTTCTTCATCAAGGTGGGAAAGCTGTAAAACTATTGTTTAGCTGCCTTTTCAAACTGAGCTTTAATATGTGAGTTAAATCTTATCTAGATGGTATATGGCATCGGGGGGGGGGGGGGGGTTCTCAGACGAATAACTGGGGATAAACTCTTAAAAACAAAGGAAAAAAGTAGGGAAGAAAATATGAGCGAACGAAAAAGATGAAGAAAATAGCTAAAAAGTTGAATCACTTTTAAGTAAAACAATAATAAAATTAGTTATTAATAAGACAGATTGAATGCAATTTAATTTTTACCGATTTACAGACCTTTTATTACAAAAACCTATGATTTATCTACAAATAGATACTGTATTATTTTTGCAGCAAGAGGGAACACTGAAAAAAACTTCTTCTTTATTGTATACACAAAAAACAAACCAATGGTATACAATAGAAGCCAAGAAATACAGTAGACAAGCCTAATCGAGCTTGGATTCCTTTACTTTCTTAACTATCCCCTCAGCCCCAATAAATAAAATAAATAAAAAACTGATTTAAAATATCTCAATGTATATGGATGAGTATGTCAGGGTCAGAGAATCGATGGCCTTATGTATTTATGTGCTTCTGTCTTTTTTAAAACTCAATTCTCCTTGCAATTAGATGGTTAAAATTTACTACATTTATACGGACTGCTGAGATTGACTTTATGGATATCAATATTATTCTTATTCTAATGTTTTTGTTCACAATTTTGAAATACTGTAATGCAATTAAAAATAACCCTATTAATTTATTTATCATGTGAGAATAACAAAGGAAAAAAATTATATTACTTGTCTTTCTATCTAGTTCAGAAGTTATGCCAATTATTGATTTTTGTCGGAAATCCAAGATTGCTACAAAAAAAAAAAAAAAGATTGCTAAAAAAAAAAAAAAAAAAAAAAAAAAAAACCGAACCCATGAGAAAATACCTTATATTCTATATGTAGTGAGAATATCAAAATCTGACACCATGAGAATTCAAAAAGTGCAAGTTAAGAAAGTGTATGCCTGTGGTGTCTGGGAACCCATTTTTTCTCCACTACAATTGCTTAGTTGTGAAAGGACTTAATAGCAAAAAAAGCATATCAAAGCAACACTTCAGATATTTACCCTTTTTGATAGATTCGTGTGCCAATGAGGATTGTTAGCATCAGGATGAGCAGGAAACTTAGCGTTGATGCAGAAATAACGATAAACAAAGGGAAATCGTTGTCTTTTTCTTCAAGTACATACTTCAATACAACAGTTGATGGACCTATTAAAGAAAGATATCATTTTAAAAAATAACACTTTTGAAGCAATGGCACTTATCCAAGTGATGATTCAGACTACAGTAGCATACAGACGTTATACATACACAATACAGAACTCATTTGGCGAAGGTAAATATTCATGAAATACGGTTAAGTCAATTAAAGCCAAGTTCTGGAGGGAAATTTGTTTTTATATGTTATCCAACTGATTTTTCTAAGTCACAAAAAGCATATTTGACAAAAAACTAGGGAGCGGTTAATGAGATACAGATTTTTGAATATTTAAAAACTGGAGGGAAAAAAGGTGGTTACGCCCCCTACTTTCCCCACAGTTGTTAAATGCCGTATTAAAAAAAATGATTTTTGTCAAATATGCTTTTTTGTGTCTTAAAAAATCAGTTGCAAAGTACAACATATCCAATTGATCTTTCTCTCCAGAGCATGGCTTTGAAGTTTCAACATTTTTTTACTGGTACGGTAGTCTCTACAACAAAGTTCATATTTATGAATTCTAACAATGAGTTTTTTTTTTGCACTTTTATGTACAAAATACAGGTACTATAATAACACAAATAAAGAAATCTGTCTGTGACACAAATTTTATGTCAATAATAAGCTTTAAGTATTGTGCATGATCTAGGCTAGGGACATAATTACAGAAAGTGAAACTTGTTCTGCGATTCGTCTGATTGGACAATGTGGAATGAGTAACTTAGTGAAGTTCTACTTTACGTACTTTGATCTATTAAACAAAGTCAGCTAACACGTCATCGTCATGGTGAAATACTGAACTTTTTTATACATTCCCTGCATGCACACTTCGGTAGTTTTACATGAATACAAATCTACTTATAGAATCTACAGCTGTCAATTGCCTCTTCAAAAAAACAAATATTTGCAGTATTAGGTGATGTCCACACTTCAGATAATCCAGATGGGTACAAGTTAACTCAGGGGCGTACTGTAGGGTGGTTTCGGCCTGGTGGGGGTCCCTATTTGCTTCCATGGGGGCAGGGGATGTGTTTTGAACCCCAGTCTACGCCCATGCAACCCTCCTTATTTTTTGCTACTGCTGTGTTGTCAGGATGAGACATGGGTTATTTATGATATCACTACAGATTATAAGAGTCTAAAAACAACCATTGCCAAGTTAAAGCTGGTTTAGCTTGGTTGGCAGAGTATCAGAATGATTCTCTGAACATTGCTAAGTTCAATTCTAACAGCAGCCTATTTTCTTTGCAACCTACTTTTTGGCCATTTTACGATTATCTATCTCAATGTAATTTGTAAGTTTTATCAGATGTTTGCATTGATTCAGTCACTCAAATCAGAGACATGACATAAAATTATAAGGTATGCAATAACGTAGGGTGTGTTCGGGAAAAAGTTTTTTACATAGGATTATACCGGTATTGTATTTGCGGGTGGTCTACCGGTTTGTGCAGAACTCGGCTTTCAAAACCACCATTAACCTCGGACTAAAACCTAAGGTATTATGCAAATGATAAGGTTCTATCAAGTTGCCCTGGACCCTTACATCACCTAGCTGTGTCACCCCACGCCTTAATCAAGAAACAGACTTTGGTGTTGGTACACTGCATTAACGTATTGTCTCAAAATCAAGTAATGAAATTTAACCGAAGAAGCTACAACAATAATAAAGCATACATTGTAAACTCCTAATAAATTGCAGATGTGCATTTTGGGCATATACTGTATAGCATGAATAAACTTTCATTCGTTTGATGATTGTAGTATAAATACTGAATATTATTACCAATGTTAAACGAATAAGCAATGGTTCCATGATCATGTATGCATGTGGCGGATGTACTCTATGTAATAAGGTAACAATTTGGATTCTATACGCTAGCCCTCAGTTGAAATAATTTATTTTATCAACCTCTTTAGTTTTGTTTTTGGAAATAAACTGTAAAAGAAGCAGGAACCATAACAGACTACTTCAGGTGCATGTTGAAATCAAAGGGGATTAGGTGATAAAAAATGCTCCCTGCTGCTAATGCATGCTACTTTTGCTCCTCCAAAACACTCTGCAATTTGCAGCGTTGGATTATAAGTGGATATCAGCAGGCGGTCCGCGTTTAAAACCCCGTTCGGGTGAGAACAGGAGATGACCGTTTCCGGATTTATCTATAAAACACTCGCTCGAACGCACCCATATTCAACGTCATGGATCACTGACCCGTTGCAGTGTTTTACCATGGAGGTACAGTATATTATCATCTAATACCTTGATGGTTTGACAATGATGAGGAGTGAATAATCAATTTTCTAAAATTTTCTTTGCAGCTGACAAATTGTTTATTCAAAAACTTCACTGACAGCTCATATAATTAACTTTATGTGACACTACACACGCTGAAGAATAGAACTGTGGGACATGACAGAAAATGTCATACTAGGGAACTTTATGATCTATATTTATGATGTAATCGTCTGGAAGTCAGTCCCAATGGAGTAGACTAATACTATGCCCTTATATATGAATATGAAACATTTAAAAAAAATGACTTTCGTAAGGTCAGACAAATATATAATGATGACTATGTTGCACTTGCTAAACATACAGTATTCTAGATGTTTTTAAAGATATTCTTTCTGTATTGTTGTTTTGATACCTGGTCATTGAAGTTCAGCTTACGTTTAATGAGCTTTTTAGATTTTATGTTTGATGCTATATTTTAAAGAGAGTATGTTCCAAGAATAAAAAGACCCAACAAACCCGTAACTGTTGTCTCGTAAAATCTCTTGACAATTAGATCAAAGATATCTTGCCTGCCTGACGATAATAATGTTGCTTGTTGAAAGGATATGAAGTCTATGTTTCATAGAACGAAACCAATAATTACTCAACAGTTGTCCTGTCTAATCTCTTGGTGATTTGGGATTTGTAAAGGATTTTAATTCATTTAGATGGATGTCTACGTGTGGGACCCCTCTGGAAATATATCCTGTGATATAATATTTAGTTATCCAAGATATCATCAACATATGATTCTATGTATTTTTTCTAAATATTTTTTGTCTATTCATGTTTATATTATGAAATTGAATATAGCAAAGCAAGACAATACAATCTACAGGTATACAGTATTTTACTAGAATAATCTACTATTGAAGTAGGATACAGAAGGAGCTCATTTGATAAACTGACAAAAAAAAAATGAATAAGCTACTTCTTATCATTCCCTTTATCAATTAACTTCTATAATTTTCTTATGTCTCTTTTTACAGAGAATTTGTTATGTATTTTATTGTACTGTAGGGCAAACTTTTAAAATACCATATTGCCCTATTGGCTTTTTTTTTTTGCAACTTAAAAGTGCTAGTTTGTACAACACAATATTAAATTTACTTGTTAGAGTTTGTTAGTTATAGTATCATTTTCTTCTTATTTCATTCTATTATATTTCACCAAATCACTTATAATCTTGCTAAAAACGATAATTCTATCTACAGTTATGTACACGATAAATTAAGTATGTTAAAAAATAATGACAGGAATCAACTAATTTTACATTACGATATTAAACAGCTTCTTTTTTTTCTCCACCTACACACTGTACACTTATGCATGACATGCACACGTAAAGATGTATTAACGTCTTAATCTCTGTCTACATTATTATTTTTCTGACAAATACAGTACCTGTGACTTGCCCATATAAGGATGCAATACAACATCATCACCCATATATGGACTAATCGCTGATATTTTTTACAGTGTATGTGACGATAGTGTCCATTCTTCAATGGAATACAGTGTAATAGAAGGAAAATATGTATATTGCATTTAACATCTTTATATACAGTATAGATTCTAGACGGAATTATTTGTATTTGTTGAGGGCCCAATAAAGTCAGCATTCCTGTTAGGGGTAACCTTGTGAAATATTGTTGAATAAATAATAAATAAATCGAATGCAGCATACAGCATTTTACAAAATCAGAAAAAAAAAAAAAAAAAAAAAAATCATTAATTTGCTGAGCATAAAAACTTAGGCTAAATGTGTAAAGCATTCACAAATGTATTTGAATATTTCAATGTACCACCTCATCAGCTGAGAAAAAATAAGGCTGAAGAATTTCTAAAATAGGTGCTACTAAACAGAGTCAGTGACGGATTCTAGTGGGTCCTCAATCGGCCCGGGCTTTTCTGAAATTATCAAAAAAATATTTTTAAAAAAATGAAAATTATATTCAACTTTAAGTCTGAGAGTGCTATTTCAAACAACCATGGGATCATAAACAGCTTACATCAGACCTAACGATGGTGGGTCTATAGGGGGTTCAGACCTTCCATCTGTGAAAGTTCCCCCCCGGGCCTCCTCCACTTTCAATTTCTGGATCTGCCACTCAGAGTTACGTAATAATTTAATCAGGTGAAGTAAGGAATGTACAGGGCGCAGAAGAGACTTCTCTGATTAGAATGTTATATCAAGTTGATCCTTACGACCAAGTGTTGGTTTGACGCTAGCAATTTAACACTTTGATAAATCTGGACTGGCTGGAAATTCTACTTTTATAAATATTGAGTTTGTGTAATGATTTAACTTGATATAGACTAGCTTTCATTAGGTCCATCAAAACAGATTTATGATTTACTACAGAACACTTTCTTATTTACAAGTTTTCAGACTTGTGCTTATGTCACAAATATATATCATCATGTTTACTTTATAGATAATGAAGATATAATGTTTATGAACAACTGTTATATAGTACAGTGACAACAGATGTTCAGGATATATCAAAGTTATTAATTATCTATTTAGGTGAAGGAGAATGGAAAGAAATTCACGTTAAGAGAAGGTTGAGAGATGGAATTGTCATCATCAATTAAAAATATTATAACCTTAGTATTCAATTTTATGAGTTTAATTAATCTCTTCTTAATGAACTGTTTTGATCATAAACAATCAACAACATGCTATAGTGGTTTAGAGTAGTGGCTTGTGAACCATGATGTCGAAGGTTCAAT